ACCCCCGGCCCCGGGCGGGGGAGCGCCCGCCAGCCCGGGGTGCCTCGGGGAGCAGCCACCAGCCCGCAGGCAGGGCCCTGCACCCCCAGCCGGCCCGGGGTCTGGGCTGCCCGGAGTCTGCTGCGTCCAGGGCGAACCCCTCCCGTCGGCGCCCCGGGAACGCCAAGCGACATGAAACCCCATAAAGGCGCATTGGCTGGTTCCCCAAACCTGCTGCCCGGGCCCGTCCTGCAGGAGGGAGCTGCGGGGCGCTGCACCACTGCGCGTACGATCCGGTATCTGTCCCGGCTAGCCGGAATGCGCCCCCGGTAACACCGCGCACAACCTGTGTGCTTCTGTGCGTGTGTGTGCTCTGAGTCCCTGTGTGTGTGCTTCTGTGCGTGTGTGTGTGTCTGTGTGTGCTCTGAGTCCCTGAGTGTGTGCGTCTGTGAGTGTGCGTGTGTGTGTGCTCGGAGTCCCTGTGTGCGTGCTTCTGTGCGTGTGTGTGTGTGCTCTGAGTCCCTGTGTGTGTGCTTCTGTGCGTGTGTGTGTGTCTGTGTGTGCTCTGAGTCCCTGAGTGTGTGCGTCTGTGAGTGTGCGTGTGTGTGTGCTCGGAGTCCCTGTGTGCGTGCTTCTGTGCGTGTGTGTGTGTGCTCTGAGTCCCTGTGTGTGTGCTTCTGTGCGTGTGTGTGTGTCTGTGTGTGCTCTGAGTCCCTGAGTGTGTGCGTCTGTGAGTGTGCGTGTGTGTGTGCTCGGAGTCCCTGTGTGCGTGCTTCTGTGCGTGTGTGTGTGTGCTCTGAGTCCCTGTGTGTGTGCTTCCGTGTGTGTGCGTGTGTGTGCTCTGAGTCCCTGTGTGTGTGCTTCCGTGTGTGTGCGTGTGTGTGCTCTGAGTCCCTGTGTGTGTGCTTCCGTGTGTGTGCGTGTGTGTGCTCTGAGTCCCTGTGTGTGTGCTTCCGTGTGTGTGCGTGTGTGTGCTCTGAGTCCCTGTGTGTGTGCTTCCGTGTGTGTGCGTGTGTGTGCTCTGAGTCCCTGTGTGTGTGCTTCCGTGTGTGTGCGTGTGTGTGCTGGTGTGTGTGTGTCTGTGTGTGCTCAGAGTCCCTGAGTGTGTGCGTCTGTGAGTGTGAGTGTGTGTGTGCTCGGAGTCCCTGTGTGCATGCTTCTGTGTGTGTGTGTATGTGTGTGTGTGTGCGTGTGCTCGGAGTCCCTGAGTGTGTGCTTCTGTGCGTGTGTGTGCTCTGAGTCCCTGTGTGTGTGCTTTTATGTGTTTGTGTGTGTGTGTGCTCTGAGTCCGAGTGTGTGCGTCTGTGAGTGCGTGTGTGTGTGCTCGGAGTCCCTGTGTGGGTGCTTCTGTGTGTGTGTGTGTGTGTGTGTGTGTGCTCGGAGTCCCTGAGTGTGTGCGTCTGTGAGTGTGCGTGTGTGTGTGCTTCTGTGTGTGTGTGTGTGTGTGTGCTCGGAGTCCCTGAGTGTGTGTGTGTGTGTGTGTGTGTGTGTGTGTGTGTGTGTGTGTGCTCGGAGTCCCTGAGTGTGTGTGTGTGTGTGTGTGTGTGTGTGTGATACATACATACTCTGACTCTCTGAGGGTGCACCTACACAGCACCCTAAACTCGGAATAAGAGTATCTTATCTCAAACCTATTTCAAAATGGTTTATTTTGAAAATTGGAGCATCTCCACAGCACCACATTTCAAAATAGCACGCCATTTTGAGCCATCCCTTATCCCTCTGGCAATGAGGTTTACCAGGAGGGCTAAATAGCACTCCTCTTATTTTGAAAAATACCGCTTGAAGACGTGAGGTAGCTATTTCAGAATACCTCTGGTATCCTGAAATAGCTGTGCAGTGTAGACATACCCTGAGTGTGTGTTTCTATTTGTGTGTGTGCATGTGTACTCTGAGTCCCTGTTTCTATTGTGTGTGTGTGTGTGTGCGCGCATGTGTGTGTGTGAATGCATGTAAACTTTGAGTCCCTGAGGGTATGTCTACACAGCAAAGTTATTTCGAAATAACAGCAGTTATTCAAAATAACTTTCCTAGCATCTACACAGCCATTCCGTTATTTGAAATTAATTTGAAATAGGGGAGGGCTTATTTCAAAATTGGTAAACCTCATTCCACGAGGAATAGTGCCAATTTTGAAACTGCTATTTCGAAATAAGCGCTGTGTAGACATTTATTTTGAAACGGGGTCCCCAGCCCTTCCCAGGGTGCCCTGCTGGCCGCCCTGGCCACAAGGCAACTTCTGACCTGATGCCCTGCTGGAACTGGTTCCAACCAACCTTAAATGTGATTCAACATCCACTCAGTGTGGACGCGCTATTTCGAAATAGAAAAACTCCATTTTGAAATGCATTTTGTGTGTAGACACATTATTTCGAAATAAGTTATTTCGAATTAACTATTTTGAAATAGCTTATTTTGAAATAACGCTGTCGTGTAGACATACCCTGAGTGTGTTTCTGTGTGTGTGTGTGTGTGTGTGTGCGCATGCATGCATGTGTACTCTGAGTCTCTGAGTGTATTTGCGTATCAGAGCTACAAAGATGTGCTGGTTAATCCTCATGGAAGATATGATGTGGTGTGTCTCTAGATATGTATTTCCAAATACACAGAGGTACAGCTGTCAGTATGAGATACATAAAACACACACATATATATTAATCTCTCTTGAATACAACCCATATGCACGTGTGTATATTTAAATCTCTTGTAAATAGGAGTATGGACCAAACAGGTCGGCAGTGTTGTTGTAGTTGTGTTGGAGACACAAGATGGGCGAGGGAATATTTTTTCTGGGGCTCTCAAGCCGGAGGGACACCGAGCTCTCCCAGGGTTGCATCTCACCTAGATATTTGCCTACTTTCACAACAGGCGGTGGGAAAAGCGTTAGAGTGGTCCGTCTAAGCTACCCTCTCATACAGAACCACAAATGGTTCTACCGCCCCGTGTCCTAGGCACTGAACTGTACCTGTGATAATGTCATTCCATTGGATTTGTTGCTAATTAGTGATAGAAATGTAGCCGTGTTAGTCTGGTGTAGCTGAAACAAAAAACAGGACTATGTAGTACTTTAAAGACTAACAAGATGGTTTATTAGGTGATGAGCTTTCGTGGGCCAGACCCACTTCCTCAGATCAAATAGTGGAATTTGACAATTGTGACTATTTTCTTCCACTATTTGCTCTGAGGAAGTGGGTCTGGCCCACGAAAACTCATCACCTAATAAACCATCTTGGTAGTCTTTAAAGTGCTACATAGTCTTGCTGATTAGGTGATAGGAAGGAGAGAGGCAGCATGTTGTCAGTCGCGGCGGGCTGTCACACTTGGATACTCACTTAAAAATGGCCTGTCTCCAAAATCAGAGAGGTGAAACTTGGCTCTTTCCTCAACAGGAGTTGGTCCAAGAAAAGACGCCCTCCGCACCTTGCCTCTGGCATAACTTGGCACACAAGTACACACGCAATGTGTGTGACCTCTGTCTCTGAGCGTGTGCTGTAAACCGTATCTACTGAGCACACGTCGTGACATACAGCGAACGGGGACCCCCATGTGTCCCCCCCCCCAGTATTTCTCTGTCCTCGCTGTTTCAGGGTGTTGGATCAGCAATTCCCAATGATCAGCCCATGGACTGGTGCCGGTCCCTGAGATCTCCCTGACATGGTTTAGGAAGGCAGCAGGCTAGTCCCCGGTACCAGAAAGGTTGAGATACAGTGATAGAGCCATCTTGGTCTAGGACTTTGGGGCTGCATGTGTCCCCCCCCCCAGTATTTCTCTGTCCTCGCTGTTTCAGGGTGTTGGATCAGCAATTCCCAATGATCAGCCCATGGACTGGTGCCGGTCCCTGAGATCTCCCTGACATGGTTTAGGAAGGCAGCAGGCTAGTCCCCGGTACCAGAAAGGTTGAGATACAGTGATAGAGCCATCTTGGTCTAGGACTTTGGGGCTGGCGGTGGGATGGGGAGATGCCGGGCACTATTAATAGCCATTGAAATGAATGTATCTAGCTCATTTTGAACCCTGTTATAGTTTTGTCCTTCACAACACCCTCTGGCAAGGAGTTCCACAGGTTGACTGTGAAAAACAAGACTTCCTTTGGTTTGTTTTAAACCTGCTGCCTGTTTGTTTCATTGGGTTTCCCTGGGTTCTTGTGTTAGGAGAAGAAATAAACAACTTTCCTTATCTACTCTCTGCTCCTCGTGGGCAATCAGTCTTTCAGGGCCTGCTCTGGTGTAGCTCCCGCTGGCTGGCGGGGGAGGATGAGCTGTGCATGAGCATGGCATGTGGCAAGAGGGGTCCCGGAGCTCCCCCCAGCCTATCTGAAAATACAGCGGCCCTTTTCCAAGCGGTAGCCAGGCTTCAACCCGTTGTGGCACAGTGGTCATCCAGGGGTTAACTGTATTACGCAGAGGAATATTATGGGCTGGAGCTATGCTCCTCCCCCTCCCCTACTTCCTGTAGTTAGCAGGTGCCCCTCCTTGCTCTGTTCCATGGCTGGAGAGAGCATTGTCCTTCCAGCAGGCAGTGGAAGGAGCGTGCGTGTTGTGTGCACCGAGGGGCTGGCCGGGAGGGTGGGCTGTGCACGAGCATGGCATGTGGGGCCACGAGGACTCGCAGCCAGCCAGTGAAACTCGCAAATGAGGCTGGAGAAGGACCCCTGACTCGGTGGCCAGAGAGCACGTTTGAAAAACCAGGACACATTTTTGTTTGTGTGTGTGTGTGAGTGTGTGCGCGTGTACGAGTGTGCTTGTGCATGTGCAAGTGTGTGCGTGCATGTGCACGTGTGGTAGTGTGTGCGCGTGTGTGATAGGTCCAGAGATAAGACAAAGGCACCAATATTGGGATGGTCCCAGTAATACTGGGGTGGCTGATCACCCTGCCCATCGCAGACCCCTGGGGTTCATGGCCGGTGGCAGTAACACCCGCTCCCCTGGAAGGCGTTTGTTACAGCCTCAGACGCCCGGAGAGAAGGGGTTAGCAAGATCTGCAAAACCAGTGACAAAACCCAGCCCGGCCCCCATAGCTAGCCTCACGAGCCCTATTGCTATTCTAGCCCCACTGCTCTCCCAGGCCTGCCCACCCTGCCCTCTTCCTTCCACCTCCAGCCGCAGCGCCGTGCCCCGCCGTCTCCCACGCCTCTCCCTGTCTGCGCCCTTCCCCTGCCCTCCCCCAACCCCTTGTCTCTCTCCTCCCCACCTGGCTCCACCTGGTTCAGAAGCCCGCGCTCAGGGCAGGGTCTAGGGGAGCAAAGCGGGACTGACCCCGGGGCTTGATGTGGGACCCATGGCAGTAAACTTGCTGGAGATTCCGAGATGCCTTCTGCTGTAATTTGAAAGACGCCCCCGCAGTTCCCCGTCCCACGCACCCTCTGCCTGCCAAGCACCAGCAAGGCTCCTGCCCTACTGCCTGTCCTAGCCTGCCGGGCGCAGCGTGGGCCCGGTGCTCCGAAATTCTGCAGAAATGGCAGCAGAGGAGCAGCAGAAGGCCCCGGTTCCCCTTCTGCGCGGAGGGAGGGTGGGCGAGACGCTGCTTTGACCTCCCAACATTGTCCGAGGTTTATTCCCCTGCACCGTGGGCACCTCCCCAAGGTCGGCCGCACACACGCTAGGCCAGAGCCCGCCGGCCGTGGGGGCCGTGCCGCGGAGAAGCGGCTTTGTTTGTGTGGGCCGGCGTTGGATCGCCAACGCGCCGGGGAAGAGGCCGGGTCGCCTCAGGAGAGCTGGGCGAGTCCTACATAACATCCGTACGCGGGGCCCTGACCCCTCTCGCAGCTGCCCCCGGCAGCCTAGGATTTTGCATTTATTTTTGTTGCATTTTATTTTTGTTCACTAGGTAATTTCTGTGACTAATTCTTGGGCTGCGGGTCACGTGAGAGCAGCTTAACTATAAGCGCTCAATAATTCAGCGCTCCACATTGGCGCTTGTGTTGCTTAGATTTGATCAGTCCCAAAGCTCGCTAGGTCTCTCCCTCTCCCCCCGCCTCGCCCCCAGGAAACAGGTGCTTCTCCGAGCAAACCCCTGAAGCTTCATTTTCGAGGCAAGTGCCTTCTTTCTCGTCGTCTCTCTGGCCCGGGATCCTGGTCACATGGCAGCAGTCCTGCTTTTTGATTGGACGAGTGCCATGTTCCAGGGCATTTTTTTTAATCAAAACACATTTTCCATTCAAAATGGCGTTTGGACAAAAAGAAACATTTGTGCAGAAAACTTTCGTTTTGGTGAAAATGTTCCAGTTTGCCCATAAGAAGCTAAATGTTTTTGCTCTTAAAAAAAAAACTGTTTAAAAAACTCCCACATTTTTTTCATACAAAAATGTCTGGCTTCCAGTTTCAAAAATCACAATTTTTTGACCAAACCCCCTTTAAAAAGAGGAATATTTTTCTGCTTCCAGCTTAAGTTTTTCATCCAAAAAATCAAATGTTTTTAAATTCAGATTTTTCCCCATAGATGTGTAGGTTATCAAACCAGCAGAGCTCACTAGATTATCTTACCCCTGCACTGAGCCCACGAACATGGGTTTGGCTGAAGTATCGTCCAGAAAAGCAACTAGACTGGATTTAAAAGCATTTTTAAAGTCTCCCCCCAAAGAAAATAACTGGTGGTTTTTGAATAGCTCCTGGACTCCTAGACCATAAGAGGGGACCCAGGACTGTTGTTCTCCTTAACTCCGCCCTTTGTAGTTTTGGGGGCTGTGTTTTTCAGGGCTGAATATGCCCTGAGATCAGGTGCCTTCTCCTCACCCTGCTCTTCTCGTGGTCACTCACAGATGCCAAAGGGACCATCCGGGAGATTGTTCTCCCCAAAGGGCTGGATCTGGACCGGCCCAAAAGGACCCGAACCTCTTTCACAGCCGAGCAGCTGTACAGGCTGGAGCTGGAATTTCAGCGGTGCCAGTATGTCGTCGGCAGGGAGAGGACGGAGCTCGCCAGGCAGCTCAACCTATCAGAAACACAGGTAAGGAACAAGGGCTCTGGGGGCTATTCCTGCACACTTTGGGGGAGGGGGGTGAAATGCCTGTGGACCATGAAGGATGGCCCTGTCACCTGCAGCACAGCACTCTGGCGCCTCCTAGGGCTGAGGTGCTAGACCTACAGCCGCTTTGCTCCCTGGCCTGGCTGTGGGGAGCGTTTGAGCTGGGCACTGAGAGGAGACTCATGCGCTAAAGCCCCTGTATGGCATTTCCCCAGTAGAAAGGATTCTAAACCACCCTGTTAATCAACAGCATCCTGCCATCGACGACGCTGCAGTGACGAGGTCCCTGGCAGTGCGGGGTGGTGCACGCCGTGCAGGGTCACCGGCTAGGGGAGGCATGTATGGCTCAGTTTCCACTTATGGCTGTCATGTGGTTCGATTTTAGAGTCGAACGAAATCAGGACACTCCAGAGACCCTTACCCTCTTTCTTATTGATTGCAAGCTTGAGGCGGTTAATGCAGTTGTTGAAATTTTACAAGCCTTAAAAACAATCACTACACAATTTAAACCTTAAATGCGATACATTCAGAGCCATTAGTACAGCGCAAACAAGGCAAAAGCAATGAATAGAAGATTTAGTATATTACAATAATTAAGCCTGGTTCACTTATACGTCAACCGTAGGCCACCTACAGTACCAGGCGGGAGGTTTGTGGTCCCTGTGACTCCTATGCATTGGGATGCCGGCACGAAGGGTCTATTTACTTCTAGTTACATTGAGCAGGACTTGTGGGTCAGTCCTCTTCCCTCCCTCCCAGCGATTCTTCTTACCAAGCCCATTTTATAGCAAAGCGAGACTTGGTCGTTTTAATAATATCTACCAGTTAATTACGTCTTGTGGAAGATACTCCCAATGCCCTTATTTAGTGTACATCCTGCTACTCGGGATGCTGCAAAAATGACATGTGTGTTTAACACTTTTTATGGCTGTATCTGGAATTTTTGCTTATCAGAAATAGAAGGACCAGTATAAGGTTTCTCCCGATGTCCTTGGTGTGGTCTCACTGTACCCTGCAGTGTCTGTATAAATTAAATAAATAGAGATTTCCTATCTCCTAGAACTGGAAGGAACCAAAGCTCATTGAGTCCAGTCCCCTGCCTTCACAGCAGGATCAAGTACCATCCCTGACAAATTTTTTGCCCCAAAATGGCCTCTGCAAGGATTGAACTCTCAACCCTGGGCTTAGCAGGCCAATGCACAAACCACCAAGCTATCCCTCTGCCTTCAAAAATATTCCTGGCTATCAAACATTCCTGCCTCCCGCCCCTTCGGCCTTGCCTGTATCCTCACGTGCACTAGACTTGAGACAGGCCTGGGTTTGCTTTGTTCGAGAACTGCACTGTGGTCAAGGCAGGGCCGTCCAGGCTGCCCCACAATGGGGTGTCCTCTGATATCCCCACTGTTTGAACCCAGAACAGTTACTTTAAGAGCACAGGATTCTGCTACTGAAGGTAAAGGAGCAGCTCCATTACCTGTTTAGGAGTAGTAGGCTGTCATACTGTCTGTGGACCAGCCTCACAAAGAGCAGATGACACAGTCAGTCAGAGTTAACTTTCAGGGGATGCTCATCCTACATCTGAGGCTCCCAAAAGAACCAAATCATTTTGGGACGAGAAGGAATTTTGCTGGGACTCTGGCAGGTACCCATCATGAGTCTGTGAGTTATCAAGTCATTTTAAGACAGAATCTTGAAGGAAAAGTTAAATGTCTATGCTACTGACATCAACGTAAGAATCATTGTAAAGATGCTATTGTTATCGAAAGTGCCTCTGACAAGCTAGGAAATTCATACCTCAGGTTAATCTTAGAAGACACCCAGACTTTCCAAAGTAGGGAAGGTCTCAACTAGGATCCCTAAATAACCTTAACTCTGCCCTTTTGATGAGACCAGGCCCAGTCTTCCCTGCTTTGTGGTTTCCATTCCTACTCTGTCAAAGTCATTACTGCTGCAAGTAAAGGCTCCAGAAAGCCTTTAATCTACCTGGGCTGCTCATATCTGGAGAGGGTGCTGCCTGTGTGTAGCTGGCAGGTGAGGTACTGAAGGGGAGTACGCAGGAACATTGGCTTTATGCCTGATTTCACCTCTTCACGTCTCTGATCACAAGTGGGGTGCTTCATCGTGATGCCATGTGAGCTATGAGATGATCGGACCATAGGATGCGTATATACAGGGACTCTTTATCTCTCTGTCCAATGGCACTTGGGAGAATTGGCTGACTCATAGGCTATGTCTACACTGGCAAGATTTTGCGCAAATACTTTTAACGCAAGAGTTTTTGCGTTAAATTATTTGCGCAAGAGAGCGTCTGCACTGGCATGTGCTTTTGTGCAAAAGCATCCGTGCCAGTGTAGACGCTCTCATGCACAAGAAATTTATGTTGCCTGTCTACACTGGCCTCTTGTGCAAGACCAGTAGCCCAAGAGGGCTTTTTCCTGAGCGGGAGCATCATAGTTCTTGTGCAAGAAGCACTGATTTCACACATTAGAACATCCGTGTTCTTGCACAAGAACTCCCCGCCAGTGTAGACAGGTAGCATATTTTTGCACAAAAGCGGCTGCTTTTGCGCAAAATCATGCCAATGTAGACACAGCCATAAAGTTTGATCCGGAAAGTCGCTGAATGCCTGGCTTTGGTCAGCCTACACGATAAGGCAGGCGTGGGCCAAAGGGCCACCACGGGGCAGATTTGGCCTGCCACATATCCTGGCCCCACCCCTTCTGATTTAGGCCCCACCCTTTCATTTTTGAAGTGGCCCCCAGCCAAAAATTATTGCCCACCCCGGCGATAAGACCTTACGGGGCTCAGGATGGAACAGTTGCTCTCAGCTGGCTCTTTGTGTGATCATGGGGTTGTTGGGTAGGTTTGTGTCGGTGGAACATGCAGGAGTGTGAAAGAGGCCAGACCTCGCACAAGCCTGGTATGGGTAACGGCAAAGCGGTGATCATAGAACTGTCAGCAAGTTTCTGTCCAAACCATTATTTTGGACCAAAAAAGAGGTTTTTTATGCAAACAGGCCGGAACTGAGGAGAGAAGGTGAACATTTTTAATAGAATTTTTCTGCTGTTTGCCAAAAGAAAAAAATGACAAACAAAAAATGCTGCAGTTCTCAGCAACTGCTAGCCAAACATGATCGCCACTAAGCAAGGAGAAGATGCGATCCGGACCTTCCATGTGCTTCAGAACGGTCTCCGTATGGCCGTGTGCCCAACCCAATGCCATCAAAGTTTGTGGCTACATTCCCACCCTCTTTGCTGGGATCAGATGCTGTCGCTCTGCTTCTATTCGCGCCGACAGAAACGAGATGCTCCATTTCCTGGCAGGTGTTGCATTTTCACATTTTTCTTCCATTCCAAAATGTGCCCACATGAGAAAACCACAAAAGCATTTTGTTCCAATTTTGACCTGTTTTTCCTTCAAAAAACCCCTGTAAAAAAAGAATCGCATTAGAACATAAGAACATAAGAACGGCCGTACTGGGTCAGACCAAAGGTCCTTCTATCCCAGTAGCCTGTCTGCCGACAGTGGCCAGCACCAGGTGCCCCAGAGAGGGTGGACCGAAGACAATGATCAAGCAATTTGTCTCCTGCCATCCCTCTCCAGCCTCTGACAAACAGAGGCCAAGGACACCATTTTATCCCCTGGCTAATAGCCTTTTATGGACCTAACCTCCACGAAATTATCTAGCTTCTCTTTAAACTCTATTCTAGTCCTAGCCTTCACAGCATTCCCCAAAAGGGGTTTCGAAATGAGGAACGGAAACAGTCCCGTCAGCACACATCAAAACTGGGCCGTTTCGGCACGATCAGAACACGACGTTTCAGGCGGGGCCGGGCGGGGCGTTTTGCAACAGAATTCCGTCCGCGCCGACATGTGTTTTGAAAATGGTCGAATGTGGACGGAAACCTCAGTTTCCACGGAAAATCTGATGAGGTGAATGTTTTCTGACCAGTTCTAGGGTCAGGGGTCAACCTCCTTCTAAGCAGAGAGCCGAATTCCAGGCTTGAGCATAACCCACAGGCCGGGGGATACATTGAGGACGAAGCGTTCCCTGCTTGCTCTCAGGAGTGACCGCTCGGTACAGGGCTTGCACTGAGATCAAGTAGTAACAAAATGTCTAGTTGTTTATTAAATTAGATTAATTAATTAGGTTAGATAAATGTCTATCAGGGATGGTCTAGACAGTATTTGGTCCTGCCATGAGGGCAGGGGACTGGACTCGATGACCTCTCGAGGTCCCTTCCAGTCCTAGTGTTCTATGATTCTATTAATTGTTCCGTGCCCTGTTATAGCATCCGTCGCTCGGTGAGAAAATCTCCCTCCACGCCACCGACTGCCTCTACTCATTCCTTCTCTCCTGTCACCCGTTCCTCTGCGTCTCTCTATTGGCGCAGCCTTGCACCTCCCTGCGGTCCTTCCCGCTTCATCTCCTTCCCTTCGGCACTTCCCGGTGCCCTAGGCTTCGCGCCCGTGTCCTGCCCCATCTCACCTACACAAAGCGACCGGCGAGGGAATAGTGAACGCTGACACCGAGGCCTCGTGGCTGGCTCCCAATGCTGATATTCCAGTCCGGTTAATAGAGGACTGTGCTGCTCATCCGTCGGGCCCCCGGCCAGAACCAGGCCCCTCTTCGGCTGGTCCTCCACTAGCGCTCAGGGAGAGAGAGTATGTGCCCCCAGCCGGCATTACATCAGTGGAGGATGGAGGGAAACAGAGGGGCAGTGAGTAGCTGAAGAGACCAGTAGAACAGCTGTTTAGAACCCAGGTCATAGAACCCCAGGGCTGGCAGAGACCTCAGGAGTCATCAAGTCCAGCCCCCTGCCCAAAGCAGGACCAACCCCAGCTCAAGCAGCCCAGCCAGGGCTTGGTCCAGCTGGGACTTAAACACCTCTAGGGATGGAGATTCCACCCCCTCCCTCGGGAACCCAGCGCAGGGCTTCTCCACCCGCCTAGGGAAATAGTTTGTCCTAATTTCCAACCTAGACCTCCCCCACTGCAACTTGAGCCCATTGCTCCTTGTTCTGCATCTGCCCCCACTGAGAACAGCCTCTCTCCAGCCTCTTTGGAGCCCCCCTTCAGGGAGTTGAAGGCTGCTCCCAAATCCCCCCTCACTCTTCTCTTCTGCAGACTGAACAAACCCAAATCCCTCAGCCTCCCCTCGTAGGTCATGTGCTCCAGCCCCTGAATCCTTTTCATTGCCTTCCCTGGACCCTCTCCAGTGAGTCCACATCTTTTCTGTAATGGGGGGGACCAGAACTGGATGCAGTACTCCAGATGTGGCCTCCCCAGTGCAGAATAAAGGAGAATAATCACTTCTCTAGATCTCTAGGTCATGTGGATGACTACTCTACCTACTAGGCCATACAGTCTTTTCAAACCCATGAACATATTTCTTTGCTGTGTACTCGTCTATTTGGTCCAGGACCAAATTTCCCTAGGAAAAGTGAAATGTACTCACCCTATTGCACGCAATGATGAAATCCCGATACCGACCCAAGGCAGGAAGGCAAGCGAGACTTTATTTTGATTTCTTACCTGTTCGTTCCAGCAAATGAAACTGCTCCCTCTGCCTTCTGCCCTTTCCTGAGCCCTCCTGGACGGGAGCCACAACTGTTTGGCTATTTTACTAATCCGTGGAAATGACTATTTATTTTAAGCCGGTTTCGTCAGCAGTGAGATTCTGTCCGGCCGCTCCAGATGCAAGAGTCTGGATTTAATCTAATAAAGCGAAGGCCGGGTTCCAAATTGCACCTGCGTCAAGCCGAAGTGCCTCCATGGAGCCACTCTAATTGACGCCAGGGTAAATGGGGTCAGAAATTTGGCCCTGTATTCCTGGCACCTGATCAGGGCTTTTCCCTAAGCAACATGCTGTCAGGCATTAGGTGAAAATGACCCTTCTTTTGTATCGCAGAGATATGGGAAATGTGATACCCTTGTGCAGACAGGGAGGAGGAAATCTCAGAAGTTTGATTGACAGCAGATAATTCCCATCAATCCTCTGGCATCAGAGGGAAGAGAAAGCAGGGAAGTGGTGAGTTCAGAGAGGTCACTGGCCCGGTCTCTTTTGGCCACTAGTCCAAAACTGGAGCTGGTTGCCAACGGATGTGTTCTTATTCTCCGGGGCTGTGTCTAAACTACATGGTTCCGTCGACGGAGCCATGTAGATTAGGCTGATCGGCAGAGGGAAATGAAGCCGCGATTTAAATAATCGCAGCTTCATTTAAATTTAAATGGCTGCCGCGCTGAGCCGACAAACAGCTGATCATCTGTTCGTCAGCTCAGCGCGTTAGTCTGGACGCTCCCGCGCTGACCTGAAAGCCCTTTATCAACCTCCCCGTTATGCCTCGTAGGATGCGGTTTACCGGGGAGGTCGATAAAGGGCTTTCATGTTGACGGGAGCATCCAGACTGCCCCGATCTGCCGACAAACAGCTGATCGGCAGAGCGGGGCAGCCATTTAATTTTAAACGAAGCCGCGGTTATTTTAATCGTGGCTTCATTTCCCTTTGCCGAACAAACAAATCTACATGGCTCCGTCGACAGAGCCACGTAGTCTAGACGTACCCTGGTTGAAATGAGGTGATGGGTCAATGCTTTGGATACAGTCTCCCCCAGGATTCTTGCCAGCACGGGATGGCAGTACGGATTGGATAAACGGGCTGCATGGCGGATAGAAAGCTGGCTAGATTGTTGGGCTCAAGAGGTAGGGATCAACGGGTCTATATCTGGCTTGGCGGTTGGTTTCAAGTGGAGTGCCCTAAGGGTTGGTTCTAGGACCAGTTTTGTTCAACATCTTTATGAATGACCTGGATGAGGGGATGGATTGCACCCTCGGCAAGTCTGTGGATGATGCTTTGCTAGAGGGAGAGGGAGATACGCTGGAGGGCAGGGACAGGGTCCAGGGAGACCTAGACAGATTAGAGGATTGGGCCACAAGAAATCTGAGGACGTTCAACAAGGACAAGTGCAGAGGACGGAAGAATCCCAAGTATTGGTACAGGCTGGGGACTGACTGGCTAAGCAGCAGTTCTGCAGAAAAGGCCCTGGGGGTTACAGTGGATGAGAAGCTGGAGATGAGTCAACAAGGTGCCCTTGTAGCCAAGAAGGCGAATGGCATATTAGGTTGCATTAGGAGGAGCATTGCCAGCAGATCCAGAGATGTCATTATTCCCCTTTATTTGGCTCTGGTGAGGCCACATCTGGAGTATTGTGTCCAGTTCTGGGCCCCCCACTACACAAAGAATGTGGACGCATTGGAGAGGGGCCAGCGGAGGCAACCAAAATGATTCGGGGGCTGGAGCACGTGACCTACGAGGGGAGGCTGAGGGATTTGGGCTTATTCAGTCCGCAGAAGAGAAGAGCGAGGGGGGATTTGAGAGCAGCCTTCAACTCCCTGAAGGGAGGTTCCAAAGAGGCTGGCGAGAGGCTGTTCTCAGTAGTGATGGATGCAGAACGAGGAGCAATGGGCTCAGGTTGCAGTGGGGGAGGTTTGGTTGGACATTAGGAAAAACAATTTCCCTAGGAGGTGGGAAGCGCTGGGATGGGTTCCCTAGGGAGGGGTTTAAGTCCCGGCTGGACCAAGCCCTGGTTGGGATGATTGAGTTGGGTTGGTCCTGCCTTGGGCCAGGGGCTGGACCCGATGACTCCTGAGGTCTCTGCCAGCCCTGGGAGTCTGACTCTGGGATTCATTCCATCCAAATTATTCCGTACATAAAACACGCTCATGGGCATCTCTCCTTAGCCCCACCCATCTCCAGCCCTCGCCTGCAGCCCCAGCTCTCTGGGGAAAGAAATGTCCCCGAACGGCTGCCTGGGTTCCCCCGGTCGGTGCAGTAAAAGACCCCAAGGGACTGTCTGCTCATGTAGCCCGGCCTCCAGCGTGACACCGGCCAGGGGACTGTCCCCAGACAATCCCCCGCGCACGCTGGAGCCAGCTCCCGAGCGCAATCCCCCTTGGCTAATAATCGGCCTCGGCCCCTCCCTGATGCGTGAGCCGAAGGGGCGCGGCGGTGTCCCAGACCCCAGCTGCAGCCCCTCCCCTCTGGTAACGCCGGTCCGGTCCTCCCCCACGGAGGGGCGGTGCTGGGGCCGTTTGAAGGGAGCCTTGGAGCGTGGCTGCTGCTCCGCTGTGGTCCCACGGGATGCTGGGGGAGTCGTGCAAATGCTCCATCCCTGCAGAGGGCTTGGGTGGCCATGGATCTCCCCCGCTGGGATGCGTCTCCCCCTCCCCCGGTCTCTTCCTCCTCAGGGTGTCACCCGACCTCCCCCGGTGGGGAGAACACGCCGGGGGCTCCTGGAGCTGCCCCTGTCCCGTGCTGGCATGAGCCCAGTGTCCCCGGGGGGAGCGGTGGGGCGGGGGGGGCCGGAGCGCTCAGGGGGATTCAAGGCCACCCGGGAAGGCCGCAGGTCCGGAACCAGACGCCAGGGGTGTATTTATTGCTCGTTAACAATCCCCGCCCTGGGAGATGATGGACCACAGGCGTGCGACCACCCGCGGCGCC